GCCCTAAGAAACTACCAATACATCTTAGAGCAGTACGGTAGATTTGTTAAAATCAGTGAACTGATATTTATACGTTATTATTAACTAAGGTCCATACTTCATTCAGATTTCCTGAGTTTTAATGTAATGCCCATTTTCTGTTCCAGGATCCCCTCCAGGATACCACATTACATTTAGTTGTTATGTCTCCTTAGGCTTCTCTTGGCTGTGACAGTTTCTGAGACTTTCCTTGTTCTTGTTGACCTTGACAGTTTGGGAGAGTACTGGTCAGGTATTTTGTAGACTGTCCCTAATTGGGATTGACTGATGTGTTTTTGATATGATTGTGTTATGTGATTTTGGGAGGAAGACCACTGAGGTAAGGTGCCATTTTCATCATATCATATTGAGAGTACATAATTATCAATATGACTTATCATTGTTGATGTTAACTTTAATCACCTGGTTGAGGTAGTGTCTGCCAGGTTTTCTTCATTGTCAAGTTTCTCTTTTTGCCTCCTTTCCGTTCTGTACTCTGGAAAGAAGTCACTATGTGCAGCCCACACTTAAGGAATGTGGAGCTATGCTCCACCTCCTTCAGAGCAGAGTATCTACAAAGATTAATTTGAATTCATCTGGACAGGATGTTTGTCTGTTCTTCCCATTTATTTATTTATTCAGTCATTTACTTATATCAGTATGACCCATGGATGTTTATGCTATACTTTGAGTATATTACAATACTACTTTATTATTATTGTTATTATTTTGCTAAAATTGTTTGAGCTTTGGTCATTGAGAGCTCCTTCAGTTGTCTCCTATGTCCCTTTGACAGACCGCATCACTGTGGGATTTTTTTTTAACACTTAATTACTGGTAGTACAGATGCTCCAGGTTTATCTTGCGTATTTCCTGCCCCAGTCCATAGAATCAGCCATTTCTACAGGGAGCCTCAGTTCCCTTTATTGGAGAATGTAGTTAGAAACTAAGATCAGAGCATTGGATGTGCTTGTTGCTGCTGGGGCTTTGTTGCTTCTAGGCCTTCTCACCTCACACAAATATATGTCTGTATACTAACTCCTTCCTATAAATACACATATTTATAATACACATAATAAATATAATAAATATACATAATATTTCTATATGTAACCATCTTTTTTTAAGTTTTGAATTTTATTTATTTTTTTATACAGCAGGTTCTTATTAGTCATCAGTTTTATACACATCAGTGTATACATGTCAATCCCAATCGCCCAGTTCAGCACACCACCATCCCCACCCCCTCACAACTTTCCCCCCTTGGTGCCCATACATTTGTTCTCTACATCTGTGTATTAACTTCTGCCCTGCAAGCTGGTTCATCCACATACATGCGATAATATATGATATTTGTTTTTCTCTTTCTGACTTACTTCACTCTGTATGACAGTCTCTAGATCCATCCATGTCTCAACAAATGACTCAATTTCGTTCCTTTTTATGGCCGAGTAATATTCCATTGTATATACGTACCACAACTTCTTTATCCATTCGTCTGTCGATGGGCATTTAGGTTGCTTCCATGACCTGGCTATTGTAAATAGTGCTGCAGTGAACATTGGGGGGCATGTGTCTTTTTGAATTATGGTTTTCTCTGGGTATATGCCCAGTAGTGGGATTGCTGGATCATATGGTAATTCTATTTTTAGTTTTTTAAGGAACCTCCATACTGTTCTCCATAGTGGCTGTATCAATTTACATTCCCACCAACAGTGCAAGAGGGTTCCCTTTTCTCCATACCCTCTCCAGCATTTGTTGTTTGTAGATTTTCTGATGATGCCCATTCTAACTGGTGTAAGGTGATACCTCATTGTAGTTTTGATTTGCATTTCTCTAATAATTAGTGGTGTTGAGTAGCTTTTCATGTGCTTCTTGGCCATCTGTATGTCCTCTTTGGAGAAATGTCTATTTAGGTTTTCTGCCCATTTTTGGATTGGGTTGTTTGTTTCTTTAATATTGAGCTGCATGAGCTGTTTATATATTTTGGAGATTAATCCTTTGTCCGTTGATTCATTTGCAAATATTTTCTCCCATTCTGAGGATTGTCTTTTCGTCTTGTTTATGGTTTCCTTTGCTGTGCAAAAACTTTTAAGTTTCATTAGGTCCCATTTATTTTTGTTTTTATTTCCATAACTGTAGGAGGTGGATCAAAAAAGATCTTGCTGTGATTTATGTCAAAGAGTGTTCTTCCTATGTTTTCCTCTAAGAGTTTTATAGTTTCTGGTCTTACATTTAGGTCTCAAATCCATTTTTAGTTTATTTTTATGTATGGTGTTAGGGAGTGTTCTAATTTCATTCTTTTACATGTAGCTGTCCAGTTTTCCCAGCACCACTTATTGAAGAGACTGTCTTTTCTCCATTGTATACCCTTGCCTCCTTTGTCATAGACTAGTTGACCATAGGTGCATGGATTTATCTCTGGGCTTTCTATCTTGTTCCATTGATCTATGTTTCCGTTTTTGTGCCAGTACCATATTGTCTTGATTACTGTAGCTTTGTAGTATAGTCTGAAGCCTGGGAGTCTGATTCCTCCAGCTCCGTTTTTTTCCCTCAAGACTGCTTTGGCTATTTGGGGCCTTCTGTGTCTCCATACAAATTTCAAGATTATTTTGTTCTAATTCCATAAAAAATGCCATTGGTAATTTGATAGGGATTGCATTGAATCTGTAGATTGCTTTGGGTAGTATAGTCATTTTCACAATAT